GTATGTGTGATCTTTATTTCTAGTGATGATATGGTAATTTCATAATATACTCGAAGAATATTGAGATATTTAAGAAGTGGAATATCACAAATCTTTATTTGTGAACTTCTATTGGTAAAGTAGTTTTATTGAGCATGTTTGTTCCAAAAATTCTTCAAAACAAGCGCATAATATGCCTGAAGGGTTGTTCACTCAAAATAAAATATGGCAAGAGAAGATTGTAGTATTTGCCCCAGGAAGCAAATCTCACATAAGAAAAAACGGTATTGTTCAAAAAAATCAACAAGCCCCAACAACTGTTAAAGCATTAGATTAATTTTATTAAGCATTAGTTTACGTGCTGTCTATTGTCTTCCATGACTTAAGCCTAGGGAACGTGTCGTAAATTGGCCTAAATGTAAAGATGCAGCCTTGCGCACACCTAGATGTTTAAAGTATCTTCATGAACATTGCAATCCAAAATTTTATTCTTTAAAATGCTATTGTTGCTAATGTATTGCTTGATGAAGCTTTAGAAGATATTGACAATTTTTTCCTAACAAAATTGGTCGGTGTTACAAAGACTAATGACACTACTCAAGTTTGGAAGATAATGGGTCACGTACCATTGGAATACTTATCCACTAAAAAATCATCAGGACTGATGTTTTCGATATGACATTATGCTTTTAGAATTTGTTACACGACAACATGTGCAATTGACTTCTCATACTTAGAAGAAGAAAATGATGTTCTATTACTCTGACTCGATACTATTATGGTTCGTTTTCAGATGAGAGCTTCCTTAGTTAGAGAGATTTTGAGAGGCAGTAAGGTATTTTTTTTCCAATCAATACATGTTTATTGTTCGTATGTATAATTTATCCCTTGCTTCCTCTCTGTTTTCTCTCAAAGTTTTATAGTTGTAAGGAAGGCATTGATTGAGGATGAAGTAATTGGGTGGGGATTTGTGTTGATTGAAGAAGAGAGGGCGGTAAAAGTACCTGGATGAAATGGTAGGAAGTAAGGAAGTAACCAAAATTCGGGTGGAAGAGGATTGTTGCCACTCCATTCGTAGACTCCAAGTACAGAAAGCCACAATTTGCCCCAGGAAGTGATTGCGGTGGCGCCACCGTGGCCCAAGATCCAAGCACGTGCTTTGGTCATTGCCCTGCCCTCTCCGCCATCCGCGTCTTCCCCAAGCAACCTCAGTGCAACATAATTCAGTGCGGAACCAAACATGGTGCTTGGGCTCTCGATGTGGAGACCCCACCCCCCATCTTCATTCTGCAGTACGCACACAGTCACAGTCACAGTCACACTACTTGGCTTTCAATTTAATTTGTTCGTTTTCATAAATGATTAAAATTAAGAAAGATAGAGGTCAGAATGGGTGCACCGTGCCTGGTGGTTGTAAAGATATCTGCACATCTCTTGCCTGTGGTGCTTGGATAAAACAGAATTCAGGGCGCCTGTAACGCAGAGAGCAATCACCTGTCGCATTGCATGCATATAGAATAGGTTGATCATTACTCTTTTAGTAACAACGGTACTATAGATACTAAATAATAGCTTCCTATTCGTTTTTTATGTCATTTAATATAATTTTACTATTTTATTTTATTTTTCAAAAATATTAAAAAAAAAAAAGTGTCACATTTTTAGGTGGTGAGTATGATGTTATTGATACACCATTACTGACAACATCAAGGAAGGAGAAGTGGAACGTACCAGACCCGGAAGTAAAAACATGGGCCCCCCAAGATCCGAAGCCCAGTTCCCATCGCTTGTCTGGATGCTAGAGTAGAAACTTAATGCCCTTTCTAATGTACTCTTTACTGCCTCTTTCCTCACCTCTTCCCCCTCTTTCAACTTGGTTCCCGGTACCCTTGCACCATTTGTTGTTCCCTTTTCGCACTGTATTACACATAATAGACAAGTCTTACCACGTGGCAAATCCTAATGTTCACTTGTTTATGTCAAATCTTAATGAAGTTAAGCCAATTTTTATTAACTTTAACATCTCAAATTTAAACGTGTAGCTATTCTTAATTTTATTTTTACCTTTAAAAATATATTTCTCCTAATTTTTTTTAATACAACTTATGAGGTGGGGTTGAACTCACAACTACTAGAGATATATATCAATTACGGTTAAGCTATGCTCGTTTTGACATTCTAAATTGGATTTATATTATATCCACATGTATATTAATATATCGTATCTATATAAAAATATAATTAAATAATGTTAAATTAAAAAAAACTAAATTTATCAAATATAGTATTATCTTTGTTACAAGATAAAATTTAAACATAACATATTTTTTGAAAAGGTTAAATTTGAATTAGTACTAATCGAATTTTAATTAATTAAGGAGAGAAAGTAAATTAAGATTTATACCATGTATCTGTTATTGTTGATTATTTAATAATGGCATACCCAGTAATTTAGAGACTGAGAAGTGAAATTAAATATTTGAAAATTTTAATAGAAATTTGAGATTGGTTGGATCGAAAATCAAAATTTTAAAAAGAATCATCCATGTGCAACCGAGAGATAGACGGGCTGCGCAAGTCTGTGTGTATCTGGACAACGAGACCAATCAGGTGTTGTGCCGATGGAGATAGAAATAGAAGAAAGAAGTAGGAAGGGAGGGAGAGTCGGGGAATTAGGATTTAGTTTTTTTTTAATTATTATTTTAAATATGTAATAAATATAGGGGGTATGTTTTTCTAGAAAGATAAACATATAATAATATTGTAAAAGTCTGATATATACTTGGAAGCTGTGAATTGGAATGTTTGATTCTCAAAATTTCTATACAATTTTGATAATATTCTAAAAAATACAAAAATAAGAAACATAGTTGGGTTCAAAATACTTAAATTTCAAACAGAAAATTTTGGTTTCCATTTCTTGATTCTCATCCAATCATAAAGAGTCAAAAATTACTTTCATTTTGTACAATTCTGAAATTTAAATCATTTCAGATGCCAAAGGCCACATGAGAGAGACAGTTTCTTGAAGAGAGAGAAACTAGCATTGTACTAAAACTCCCTGCATCAGAAGTGTATTGATTTATAGTTTAACTTGCCTTGTGTGGTAACTATTTTATTTGTACTCGTAGAAAATATTATTTTATTTTTTATTTATTTTAAAGCTTATAAATGTTAATTTTATCCATGTGTTACTTCTTTGGGTAATTTTTTTTTAATTAGGATAAAAATTCAGATGTGTTTTTAAAAATAATAATAAAAAACACTAAAAGTCATATATGTCAAAAAAAAAAAAACACAAAGTCATAACTACTTAAATTAGTTAGTTAAGCATAGCTTAAATGCTTTGGTTATGTCTCCCCAAAGATAAGACCACCCACAGACTGTTCAACTAAAAAAAAATTATAAAATTTATGCTCAATTAGAAATGTGGTTATGCATATAAAAATATAATTGGTATATATAAAAGAAAGGAAGAAAATAAAAATTGAAAAAGGATGATACCTGAATGGAGACAAGGAGATCGGAAGTTTGCTTTCGATGGAAACGGTTATCTTGGAAGGCTTTGCGAGCTTTCTCGATTTGCAATAGCTGTTGTGGAGTTCCGGCATCTGGACAGAACTCCCACACTTGCCGTCCCAAGTGATTGCTTATGCTCTTTACCCATTTCTCATCATTCTCGCCAACGCTCTCTGCTCCCACCTTTAACCTCCACATCTTTTATTTCTGCTTCTGTTTTGAATATCAACTCTCTTGATTCAACCTACCTATATACCCATATACAAATCTTCACACTCGGACGTTTGGCAACTTCAAATCATCCCAACCCCAACTTTTCCTTCCACGTAAAACAGATTTTCTTTACCGCGTGGACGCCTCTTCTCTCGGTTTTGTGGACACCGACACTTATATATCTGCGCCTGCCTTGCTACCAAGTATTATTGCATTTTTATTTAATTATCCTCATATTACCAAAGCAATGGTCTCTATTTTTCTAATATACCTCTTTTTATTATTTTTTTTAATTGCAATGCTTTATGGAATAGATATATAGTTCGGTAACCCATGAGGAAAAAAACTATTTGTAGTGAATTCGAGAACAACTCTTGTGATGGTTTCCTCCAATAATTGTTTTTAATATTAACAAGATGTGTTGCATTTCCTTTGACAAAGAAGGTTAATATCTTAACCTAACATAATTATTGGATCAACTAAGCAAGAAGTATATTAAACTAAAAAAACATCTAATCTAGCTTAAAAAAAAACTTAGTGTTCGTACAAGTAAATTTGTCCAATTACAGTAGGCCAATAAATACCTATAAATCCTTTTGTTAAATGAGTCCACTAATAAATTATATTAATTTTCACCGTCTAATAAAATAAATAATTAAATACTAATTTTTTTTAAAAAATTAAATACTAAATTAAACTTATATAGAGTTAAAAATAATTGTTTTTTCTTCGAAAAGATGCAAAAGCAACCCTTTCCGCCCATTCACTCCAAATACTCATGATTCACGTGTTTTGTACTATTCAAGAAAACAAATGGTAATACTGAAAATAATAAAAAGGAAAAAAGAAAACAAAAGGTAGGTTAAAAGGAATTGAATCAATTAATTATAAAATATTGTTTTTTTTAAGTATATTATAAAATATTGTTGGTGGATGGATACAGATAATAATATTCAACAAAATAATTTTCCTGCTGATTGTCTGGTGGTGTATTTCTATTGACTCAAATAATTTAGAGAGATCCACTTATTTATTAAAAGATATTTTTAATGTGTGACAAAATAATTTTCATATTTGTAAATTTAAAAACAATATTTCTTTTATTTTAAAAATATTGTCTAATTTTTTAAATCCAATCTTTTATATTATTCTAATTCCGTGCTTGTTGATAGAATTGATATTAAATATATCAGTTATATAATTAATATAAAAAACAAATTATATTACTAATATAATTGATTAAGTATATCAATCATACTAGATATATAATACTAGATATATAAGTGATATACTTCATATTGATAATAAGTTTTCTTTATATTTATTCAAGTAACGTTATAGATTTTTTACTAATATATCAATAATATACTTTATTTTAAGTATATGATTGATATAATCGATATCTTAATATGAAGTTAATAATTGATATATTTAATACGAATTATATCAAACACTAAATATATAAATAATATATTTAACATTCACTCAAATACTCATGATTCACGTGTTATGTTCTATTCAAGAAAACAAAGGGCAGGTTTCGAGGAATTTTATCAATCTATTGTAAAATATTGGTGGTGGCTACAAATAATAATATTCAACAATATATATATTTACACGTGAAACGTATCGTGCATTTCTTGGGCTAAATATATGTTAGTCTCCAATATTTGAGTTTATTTACTTACTACTGATCCACTTATTTATTAWAGGATATTTTTAATGAGTGGAAAAAAATTTGCCGTCTTTGCAAATGTAACTCATTAAAATTTATCTTTCTTAAAATAAAACAATTTATTTTTTAAAAAATATATAAAGTAATTATAATTTTTTAATATTTTTTTTGAATAAGTAGTTATTTTATTCTAGGAGAGAAGATAATTTTTAATAAATAACATTTATTTAAATTTGTTTAAAGGAAAAACGTTGCAATATTGGACTTGTATTTTTTTTTTAGAATTAGTAGTTATTTTATTTCATAATAGAAAGAAAAATTTTAATAGGTGGAAAAAAAATAGAAGTATAACATGGATTAAAAAGAGAAAAAAATTGATTTTAAGAAGGCTTGAATCCAAGACCTTAATTGAGAGATGAGACCTACATACGTGACATTGCAAGTTGAGGAGACGACATGCCTATTGAAGTGGATTTCGTTGTCTCTTCAAGAAATAACCTAGTGGTGGAGGAATTCTCCAAATATTATTTTTAGAATAATTTTCGTATCAATATTATTTTCAAAATAAGTTCAAATTTAGCAATACTAAAAAAAATCCATTTCAATCTACTTCTAAATTTCTACTGATTCACCAAGTACTAGTAAGCTTATGGAATAAATACAATTTTTTTTAGATAAAAGTTGTAAGATTATTATGGAATAAATACAATTTATTCATGGTGAATTTTGGAGAGGTTCATGTGTCCCTCGAATGAGAGTGTATACTCAGGAGCAAATGAGCCTACAACTAGAAAACTCGCGCCGGTGCGATGTCCCCCCTAATAAATTATGATGCTCAAATCAGTAATCAAAGAATAAAAAATAGGAGTAGACACCTTAGGATTTCAATGATAGATTTTAACTTACTTGGTGTTGGGGGAGTCCTTCCCTTTTATAGGCGCAGGTGACCGACCAATAAGGACAACAATTGCGGAGGCAGAGGTGTGCTGAGTGTTGGTTGTGTTACCCTAAACTCGTAGTTTGTATTTATGTAAAAACAAATTTATATTCAATAAAGTTATATTCAATCAATTTATTGTTGAATTCATTGCAATTATCTAATCCAATAAACTAAACATCCAATGTTATTGTCAGGTAACTGAGACAATATATATACCGAGCATATATTTGATATACCCTCGATATACAGGTGGATAATGACCCGAGAATAACCTAAAGGGTTTATAGTATATGGATAAGACTGGGTACCTTATCCTGGCAACACTATGGATACAACCCACTTTGTAAATGTTACCGACCTGATCCAGGTCGTTCGTATGGAGACATGCGAGTGAGGGTATCCTATACAATGAGTTTGTATAATATCGGACCACGAAATAATAGATCTTTAGATGTAACATCGTTGACTAACAAATTACTATTTCATAAGGTCACCAGACAACTCATTCTCAATCCTGAGTGAGTTATGGACTCCTGCCCGTGAGGGCTCGTTCTTTAATCTGTATGAGTGAGAGTGGCTTGAGTCATCGACTCAACAGGAAATGAGATCGAGTGGGGAGCTCGGAACATAACTACACAAGATAAAATTCACTCCTCCCCGACTTTAGGGGAGTAGATGAGTGTTCCCTTTAGTGCTGACTCTGAGACTTGAACAAGCGGCTCCACCCTCTCACTGGCCCAAGAAAGACTTCCGGTTATTGGTCGGACCTTAACCGGGTTGTTCATTAAAGGATCAGCGGTACTTAAGGTACAAGATGTAACACAGGGGTAAAAGGATAATTTGACCCATCTATGGTTACGAACACTCGTGAAGGATTGGCTTGCCATCAATAGTCGATATCCATGGATACAGAAATATTCTATAGTGAGAAGAGTTCAGCTGCAGGTTTTTAGTGGAGTAACCCGTAGTTAACGTATATTGATTAAGGTGGTTCATGAGTTTAACCGATTAATCTTGTAACGTTGGAGCTTCTGATCTATAAGTCCATTAGTTCACCTTGCTAGCTCGTAAAGGGTAATTAAGAACATTAAGTCTTGAAAGGAATTTGAATCGTTGAAATTTAATTAATGGGAATTTGAGTTAATTGTGTAAGACACAGTTTAATATAACGTATGATGTATGATGATACATACGAGAGAATAATATGAATTGGATTCATATTAATACTTTAGGTTAGAGTTTAACGTGAATTATATTCACATTAAATACTATAGCTTAGGAGGGAAATGTATATTTGAATATATACATTGATTTAATTAAATATAATATAATATAATTATATTTATTTAACTAATTTATTTAATTAATTATTTTGAATAAAATAAATAAATAAATATTATATATCCATTAATTAATTTAATTAATAAATATAACTCACCACTTGCCAGCATTTTTGGTGGGAAGCAGTGAGGTGGAGAATGACAGGTTACTCCCCTCCCCCTCCTCCCTCATTTGTGTTAAAATACACGGATTTTTTCCTGAGTTGGTTGGTTGTTTATCATATTAGAACAAAAACTCTCTCTCTCAAAGATCTCACTTCCATTTCCCTTTTGTTTTCTTGCTAAGAAGTATCCACAATCCATTCTTGATCTTAAAGAGAATATCAAGGTAACTCTGTGGTAGTGTCTAACTTCGGTTTGTGAAGAATTGTTCGTGTTGTCACGATGTTTATGCTCGAGGAAGAGAATCCGTCAATGGTCTTCAAATCTGAGTTTTTCTCTTCCACAAAAGGCTTAACCTCATTATTAATAGAAACGTTCTGTTTTTTAAAAAATCGTATGGTTCCTTTTCTAATCCGAATTGAACCACAAGCGATCAACCACTTCCGCTGGGGATTTGATCCCTTCACCAAGCTGTACGAGGCTCTGATGAAGGGGTGTACGTCCCCGATAGATCGTGTGTGGTGTCTTCATTCACAAGTCTATAAACCTGTAGCTCGCAGGTTTCAGGCTGCAGTCTTCAGCGTCCCCTTCGTACAGTGTTGGGAAATTAACGGTCATGTATAATTACTACTTCCACAGAAAATATACAAACACAACCATAATATGCAAATAGGAAGAAAAACGGTAAAGTACAAGATAAATGACACAACAGATGATACTGGTTCACCACTAGAACTACGTCTAGTCTTCCACTCAAATGTGGGTAATTCACTAATAATGTTAGGATTCGAATACAAAGCTCTCCCAAAAAAATATCTCTTAGAAGTCCCAACAAAAGCCCCTTAGCTTCTAAGTATTTTAACACAATTAATACTTAGGTATAGGAATGAAAAACTCATAAGAATCAAGATATAATTATCCTGATAATGTTGATCTTGATCAACCCCAATACCTCTGCCAATATTTGAGCCGCTACCACTGATTAGTTGTCAAAACCCTCTGAAAAAGAGCTGCTAAAACCCCTTGTTTGGCTTGAAAACCCTAAACCCGTAACTATAGTATTATAAACTCGAAACAGCGTCATGACGCTACAAATAGAAAAAGATCGCGCCCACGCCCCCTTTGACAGTGCCACAATGC